TATATATATATATATATATATATATATATATATATATATATATATATATATATATATATATATATATATATATATATATATATATATATATATATATATATATATATATATATATATATATATATATATATATATATATATATATATATATATATATATATATATATATATATATATATATATATATATATATATATATATATATATATATATATATATATATATATATATATATATATATATATATATATATATATATATATATATATATATATATATATATATATATATATATATATATATATATATATATATATATATATATATATATATATATATATATATATATATATATATATATATATATATATATATATATATATATATATATATATATATATATATATATATATATATATATATATATATATATATATATATATATATATATATATATATATATATATATATATATATATATATATATATATATATATATATATATATATATATATATATATATATATATATATATATATATATATATATATATATATATATATATATATATATATATATATATATATATATATATATATATATATATATATATATATATATATATATATATATATATATATATATATATATATATATATATATATATATATATATATATATATATATATATATATATATATATATATATCCTTGGAAATGCAGACTTGTACTTTGAATATTGTCTTTAGCCTTGTCCTATAACACTCCTTAGATACAAGGTCGAGACAGCACTGGGCTCTTCTTAGGTGTGATCCAGTGGAGATGATTCCAAGATTGTCTGCATAGATGATCTTGCACCCCACTTTGAGGTGTATGTTGAGGATACAGGGCATTAGGGTGTAGAAAAAGGCTGGACTGAGTAGCCCATCCTTAGGCATTACTTTTTTTAGTGGCATATGCTGTGATAGGTGACCTTGCAATCTGATTGTGGCTGTTCTGTTCCTGAAATAGACACCTATCCAGACCAAGAACACATACATGTTTTCATTCTGTGAGTGTTCATTGTAGCTAAGACAGTGAGCCAAGGCACTGCCAGTTGACCTTGTCTGTTTTTCAGTAACAGTCTCATCGACACACCAACTGATTCTATCCACCAGGGCCATAGTGGCATAGGTGAGCTCTTGGACCCCTCACTTGACATGTGTTGGCTTTTAGATATTGAGGAGAGGGATCTCAGAGGGAACCAGGACGGGGTGGTGAGCATTGAAGGCCCCCCCCCCCCATGATTACACGGTCTTGTGCTGCAGTAGCACAGACCTTGCTGATGTCTAAGCTGCTATAGCCTGGTCTGCTGTACACATTGTGCAGCTTGACTCCCCTCCCCCACTGCCAGGTGGATCCCAGTTCTTATACCCTGAGAACTGAACAGTCCCCTCTGTTAATGTCTCCTAGATCGCGCTATTGCTTGGAGAATGGTATTTCTTGTATTTAAACCATAGATGTAGTATGCTTAGATTTTGTGCTATGATGTGTCAATTACATGTGTCGTTAATGGCGTCGATGTATTCAGATACAGAGCCAGATTCCCCATCAGTGATGGTATCTGACATTTTGGAGTCTGATATCCCCATTGTGAAGTCCTCTTTGATTGAATGATCATCTGCTGGGAGGTGTAGAACCTTTGGTAGCTCTGACTTTTGTTGACTTTGCTTTTCTCTTTTCAGGCTTTGCCTGTGTGATCTTGGCCTTTGTTGGCCTTACCAGGGTAAACTGACTGCACAGATTCAGCCTGTTTTAGCTCTGCCTGTGGGGGTTTAGCCAGGGTTGGAGCAGGGAAGGGAGTCTCACCCTGAGGTGGAGTAGAAGCTGGTTTTGCGGTCTCTAGCTTCCTCCTCTTCAGGGTTGCAACAGTCTGGGTCACTGCTTTCATGGTGACTATGACAGCCATCTCGGCCTCCTGACTTAACCTCCCCAAAGCTGTTGACAGCAGTCAACTGGAGTCATGTTTTCCCTATCGAAGAGGAGTCGGTTGGCTGTTGGGGAGGATCTTGCAGTGTTCTTTGACTTTATTCTTCTTTCTTTTTCTGCACACTTGTAAGGGTTGGGATCTTGTGTTGGTTGGGGTGGTGCTTTCCTCTAAGGAGGTCAGGGAGCCCTTTCCCTTTTGTTCTGTCCCCAGACATGTGGAATTGGGAGAGGAGGAACGAAATCACCTCCTTCCTGACAGAGCAATCCAGACTCTAGGCTTGATATCTCTTGGCACAGTTGGGACAATTAGCTATTGTATCCCTTTGGACATCATTGTGTTCCTTGTAACAGACACCACATCTGGGCTTACCTTTGCCGGTAGCCTGGTGGTTACCATATTTTTGACAGCAAAGTGGGTCAGGCACATAGGTTTTAAGCCTGTAGGAGCCCTTTCGACATTCGTGAAGCGCCATGACTTGTGGGTGTGATGTGATCAGCTCCACATAAACTGAGGAGCCAAGTAGCAACATCTTGATTGCTATCTTCGGGATTCATTGCTGAGATACTCACTTTCCTCCCATCTTTAAGGCTCCTTCGTTTCCTGCAGGAAATTCAGGGTAGCTTGATCTTTAAGCACAATGATCATGCCTTGATCTCTGACATTATTGAAACCTTCAGGTTAAGAGGTAACCTTAAACTGTGGGAAATGTGTAAAGTATCCAGACATTCCATCAGAGTCTGTCTCAGGCCCAAAGTGTTTTGGACCACCCTTTTGGCATGGATTCAGGGCTTTGGTCATGGGAGCAGCTAGGTTGGCCGGTCCATCTTGTGCTCCCATCTTGGTCATTGAAGACATCAGAGGGGAAATCAAGAGGCCTAGAGAGGCCACTCTTGCAGAGTCAGCCCTTGTTTTTTTCTGTCATTAGAAGCTGTTAATGTCTTCAAAGTGACTGCCTTGGTCAGTTCCTTGCATGGATCAAGGTTTTGGTCAGATGATGATTTGGAAAGTTTTGTTTGCCATATGATATAGCACTTCCTTCACCTTCACCCACCACATAGTCCAGCTAGGGAAAGCTGTATCTTACAGCTCATTTTCTACAGGTTACGAGTTTGGTAAGAAAGTCTACATAGGCTCTATCCATTATGACCAGCACTCACAGGACCTGCTTGAAGGCCAATGACTCTGTGACCTCCCAAGGAAGAATAGTCAATTAACCTGAACGGGGCCAGGGTCAAGCCACTAGGCTTGGTGGAATAAAGGACTAAAGAGGCATGTTACTAGCCGCTGGGCATATTCATGCATGGCATCACTCAACCTTCAGGACTCCCATCTACACAGTGCACAAGCTACCCCATACATTTGTGACACCCTGTCTGATTCCTTACTGAAGAGCTTGGCAACATATATTTACCTATACATATATTCATACATACATATATGTATGCATATATAATGTATACATATAAGTATGTATATGTACATATTCATGCATATGTTTATATATAAATACATATGTATGTATATATGTGCAGTTATATATGTTTTTATACATGTAGTGACTAACTTTTGGCGTTGTGAAACTATTGTACTGTTTTAACTATTGTAATAATACTGAAACTACTGTTTCAGTATTATTCTTATGTGCCACATGTATCCTCATTACGTGAATAAAGTATTGTTGAGGTAGCCCTTACTTTTGCAACTTACCCTGTCTGGTCCCTGATTGAAAAACCTGACAATATATATTCATATATTCATATATGTATATTTATACATGTGTATATGTATGCAAGTAGAATGATGAAGGGAAGTACAGGAAAACATACGAATATGCCGAAGGCCTTTTCGCATTTACTGCTTCATCAGGGCATATAGAACAAGAGATACATAGAAGTATATATACATGTACTTGGCGGTCAGGTCACGTCGGTGATCAGGTGAGCGACGACCTTGGCTAGTTCGTGGCTCCCCGTTGCGGTGTTGAAGTTGTTAGTAGAGTGTATGCACGTCGCTTCTACCATCTTCCTTTGTAGTGGGGGCAGGTCTTGTTTTATGATGGAGGCCAGGGACCACTTAGGGAGATGGCCGTCGGTGTCGACGTGAACAACGAAGGCGCTCCTCCTGTCATGTCGTCGGAGGGCGCTGCGGTGTTGGTCGATTCGTTGTTCGTGGAGGCCTTGTCCTGTCTCACCTATGTACACTTTATCGCAGCCACCGCAAGGTATGCTGTACATCTGGCTAAGAGGTCTGTTGTGGTCTGACCTCTTTTCCCTTACGATGTCTCAGATCATCTTACCAGATGTGGTGGCTATCTTTATCATATGGCCCAACAGGGCCTCCAGGTTTTGCGTCAGCTGCAAGTGTGGGATGATGATCCTGTGTGTTTTGTTCTGTGTGGTGTCCCCTCTTGATCTGTACATGATCTTTCCTGCCTTCTGTCAGAGGTAGGCGAATAATGTGCGAGGGTAACGGAAGCGTTGGAAGGTGTTGATGTGTTGCATTTCCTCCTCCAGGTATTCTGGGCTGCAGATTCTAAGTGCTCGGAGGTAGAAACCAATGACCACGCCTTCTTTGGTTCTCTTGTTGTGGGCGGAGAAATAGTGTATAAAATCATCTTTATTAGTTGGTTTTCTGTACACAGAGAATACCGGGCCGTCAGGTCTCCTATGGATTAGGTTACCATCCACTGGCGGTACGGGATTTGAACGCACGTCAGCAAGTTTGTTGAGCTGATGGGAAAAGTTCGTGCTCAGAGGATGTAGAAAACGTCTTAAGATTGCCATTTTTTATAATTACAGCCTAATTACAGTTATAGAAACGTTCGAGTAAGGAAATCAACTCATATTAGACTATCACCTTGTAAAAAGTTTTGTCAAACCAATCTATTATATTAGCACAAATTTACCCCCTTCCATATAGATAAACCTCTCTGCTCCAGGGTTTATATCATGTGATTGTGGTCATAACCGTTTATGTATCGAGTTATGGAAACAGTTACTTATTAGTAATGCATTTCTTTTTCTTTTTCCAGTATCCACTGCTGAACAAGGCAACTATTGACAACGATACCCCGACTCCAGGATACCTCTTCGAAGATATCATCAGTATCCTTTTTACAATGGAATGCTGTATAGTTTTGATATTTCTACAAGGCTACTGGGGGTATACACTTTGCGGGCACTAGCCGCATGGACAGAGTCCCAGTCTGCCTACTGTATCCGTATGTCGAAAGAACAACAACACGTCATATTTAAAGGGCAGATTTACTGCTTGTAAAGGGCATGGAACTGTATCACAGCATTATCTCACGTCATTAGTCATCAGAATCGGTGTATCTGAGATGAAAGTGAGGAACAGTGCCAGTGAAGGCGATGTTAAGTTTTTGTTTTTAA